CTCGACTTTTCTGACTGCTTTTTCTCCTGATAGGATTCTGTCACGATTTTCCAGCCTTTTTGGGGACTCTCACACGCTAGAATCAAGCTCTGAATCGGGGGATACAAAAACTTGCTAATAAGGATATTCCACAGTTTGAAAGACCTGTCTACCACTTCATTCCCAAAAAGTCTCCGAAGGTCTCCTATATTCACACTCCTCTTCCCGACCTTAACCTCGACCTCCAGTTCCAACGCATCATGCACACCCTCCTCCTGAAAATATGAAATCATCTACAACGAAAAATATCAAACATAATATACAAATCCTGCTCATTCTTCCCGCTACNGTTGGCATCTGTTTCATCCTTAATCGTGCCTACAGATGCGAGACGCAGGCGAAGGGCCTCTGAGCGGGCAAAAAAATCCTGTGGACTCTCGGACTCTCTCATCTCCAACTCCTTCCAGTCCTGCTCCAACCTCGACTTTTCTGACTGCTTTTTCTCCTGATAGGATTCTGTCACGATTTTCCAGCCTTTTTGGGGACTCTCACACGCTAGAATCAAGCTCTGAATCGGGGGATACAAAAACTTGCTAATAAGGATATTCCACAGTTTGAAAGACCTGTCTACCACTTCATTCCCAAAAAGTCTCCGAAGGTCTCCTATATTCACACTCCTCTTCCCGACCTTAACCTCGACCTCCAGTTCCAACGCATCATGCACACCCTCCTCCTGAAAATATGAAATCATCTACAACGAAAAATATCAAACATAATATACAAATCCTGCTCATTCTTCCCGCTACCAAGCCAAGGTTCTATTTTTGAGCCAGGATTGACACGTAACGTGCCTGAGCGGGGAAAGCCCTGTTGTTCAGCAATGGCCTCAGCTGTCGCCTTGGCCGCTTGCGCCACGATGTGTGCGACGCTGCTGAGGTCGTTGAAGGTAGCTGTTCTACCCTGGCTGGAGGGTGATGGCTGGCTGCCGGTAGGTGGGACTGGGTTGCCGGCTGATGGTGGTTGGGCGTAGGTGACTTCACCCTCGTTGATCCTGTTGGCTTCGAGTTCGGCTTGTACTCGTTGCTGGACGATCTCCTCCACTTTTTGCTGTAGCTCTTCCCCGCTAGGGGCGGAGGGGTCGATGCCCTCCATTGTTTATGTTGTTGTGGGAGTCTACCGATTGCGCGTGACTGCACAACCCCCGGAAGGCTACGCCCGCGCGCAGATACCGTGATATCGGCCCACTAGTGTGAAAGGTAAACTATGCGGGGTGCAGCAAGCACGTTCTGGACGTTACTTTGGGGCACTGGGTAGNGGGAAGAAGTGCGCAGCACGTACGCAAGCCTCATCATCGCACCGACCACGCCCAAAGGGTCCCCGTGACTGCGCCTGTGGTGCCCTTCAACACACGAAATTCCCAACACGTATCCCCCTGGGATCCTCACGACCAGATACTGCTGCGAGTATATCTAACACCCGGTGTGGATTCCATTTCTGGTTTTTTCCTGATGATCTCGTCTTGAGTATTTTTATTTATTTATTTTTGCCTTCCGACAATTGCAGATGTACCTCAGAAAACTTTCACTTAATGTCTCATACTCTACATGAATATTAAACCAATACGAAGTACAACAACATATGTAGGACTTATTTCTACTGTCATTTACATCGTAAAAATATCTCCTCTTCAACTTGAAATAAAACCAATGACAATCCTGATGGTATCCTATATGCGTTCGTAAGCTTGCTAAAATACTACTGCGTTGATGTCCGCTTGTAAAAGCTGAAATCCAACAAATGCTTTGATCCATGCTACATCTCCGTGTTGGAAAAGCCCTTTCATCTCCGTTCATGATAACATCTTACCCTATTCTACGCAAATCTGTCACATCTACTCTCAAACAAGACGCCAATTTCAAACGAAAACGCGTTCTACGATGCGTCTACACTCCATCCCCATATCATTGGCGTTGACTGGTCCGAGGTCGATCTTGTTCGCCTGTTTTCGGCGTCTTGACGCCCGCGCAATGCGAGCTTGTACCTCTGCACTTGCCGAGATATGGCCACCTGTGTAGCCACCGAAACGATCTGAAGAAGTCGTATTTTTGTTGGTGTGTTAGTCTACTCAGCTGTCTGTGTTTTTCCAGCCCCGCTCCGTCTATTGATATAGAGGACTCCGGTTGCCGATTCGTGACCCCGTTGCTGAAACCCTTTTCTCACCTAGATAGAGAATTGGTGAATAGAACTCCGGTTGTAGGCCAATTTGCGACCCCGCTCCTGATACCCTTTCCTCACTTAGGGAATCGGTGAATAGGACTACGGTTCCCGGTCGACTTTCGCTGTTGATACAGTCTTCCCTCCTGTCTCCGCCGCAGAAGTATTTGCTCAATGTCTAAATCGAGGCTTCCCGCGCAACACTTTGCTGTTTGTTCACCACAGAGGTACCCACTACTGCTGTTGCAGCAGTGGTGACGTGTGTGTATAATGAACTCTCAGCCCCTTGGTGTAGATGACCAAGTAGTGCGCTCACTTTCGTTTCCGCTGACCGTTGATGATCTCCCAAGTCTCCGAATCCAGATTCCGCTCGAGGTCCACAGACGGATGTTGTAGTCCGCAGTAGGATGTCTTGACCTCCGTCGTGATGTCCGCAGCTCCTAGTGTCGCGTAAAGCGAGGCTCATAACCTCACAAAATGTGGCGTTCTGCAGCAGCGGAGGTGGCGGTGCTGCTGTAGCTCGTAGACTTTGTAGTCTATCACAGAGGTTACACTGCTGTGAGATCGTTAGGTCCGAGCGAGCTTCGGAAAGAGAAATATCGATAGATGTTCTTGTCAACTGATTCCTTGGTCAGGCTTTGATGGGTGCTAGATGAGAGTGAGAGGGGTGGCGAGCTTAGGGCTGCACCACTCTCCTCGAATACCGGACAAATAAGACGATCACACGAAAGATCTAGACTAGAAAAATTGCAGAATGGTTCTGGAAGCCCTCCTACGTTCTAGAAAACTATTGAATGCAACCTCGGTCTAGAACGCTTCCAGAAGCTTACAGAAGGTTCCAGAGGTTTCCAGAAGGTTTCCAGAAGCTACACACGTTCTACGTAGATGTCCCGGTCGACCTTGACCTACCATGCTTCCGAAATATTTCTAGAACAAGAGGGTCTCCGGGGTATTGNTCTCATCTCAACAACAAAACAAAAACAAGAAACAAGCAGCAAAAACACAGCAGGTTCCGAGGGTCTCCGGAGTAATGGCCCGAGTACTCGGAATTCGGGGTTTGGAACAAGAAAACGACCACAGTCTCGCCTGCCAAATTATCTCCGCTACAACTCTGTGCTCATGTTCTCTGCTGAGTACCATCTCTTCTTTCTGTATTATGTCTACGGAAGGCTGCTAGTTGCCGCAGTCGCACCTATGGTAAACTGTGCCTGACTACGTTGTAACAGTTTTCCTCGACACGACCCCTCGATTAGGCAAGTAGCCGATGTTCCAAACAACCTTCACTTCGCTGCCATTCTTGCGACCCCTCGATTCCCAATCCATATCAAAGAATATCGACCTCCACATGAGTGAATCCATCCTGTGAGCAATACACGCGTCCAAAACATTCAACCATACTATACGATCTTGTGCTTAATATCTTCTAGCACTTGAAGTCCTTGATGAGTTGCATGATGGTGGCGAATCGCTGCTTCGGGAGATGNCTGTTTTTCTCGACACGACCCCTCGATTAGGCAAGTAGCCGATGTTCCAAAACTATACTTCGCTGCCAAATTTTTGCGACCCCTCTATTCCCAATCCATATCAAAGAATATCGACCTTCACATGAGTGAATCCATCCTGTGAGCAATACACGCGTTCAAAACATTCAACCATATGCGATCTTGTGCTTAATATCTTCTAGCACTTGAAGTCCTTGATGAGTTGCATGATGGTGGCGAATCGCTGCTTCGGGAGATGTTTCGTCGCGATGTCCGCCAACATCGTGGCACTAGGTTGGTGGTGAAGAGTGGTCCGGTGCCCCTTCGTGAGTTCCCTGAGGAATAAGAAACGGAGCGCGATGTGCTTGGTTCTAGAGCTGAACATCGCGTTGCTGGCCACAGTCAATGCTCCGGTGCTGTCGCTGTTGATGAGTACCGATCGAAAGGTCTTGAATCCGATTTCCGTCATGAAGTTGGAGATGTAGACTGCCTCGCGAGCACTGAAGCTCAGCGCTTGAAGTTTGGCCTCCACGGTGTTCTGTGCTGCGAGAGTCTGTGCCTTGGCTCCGTAGCTGACCAGCCCTTCTCCTAGGAAGAACAGGTATCCGGTGGTAGACCTGCCGTTGTCTGGGTTGGCTCCAAATGACGAGTCAGTGAAGCACGAGAGTCTGAACTGCCCCTTCTTGTACACGATCGGCAGGTCCGGCGTTCCGCGTAGGTACCGTAGTAGGTGCTTGGCCGCAGCCATGTGGACCTGTGCTGGGTTTGCGCATGCCCGTGTCAGTTGGTGCACTGCGTATGACAGATCGTAGCGGGTGCATTGGGCAAGGTACAGGAGACTCTCGGTGATGGCCTGGAATCTCTGCTTGTCCTCGGGTCCGAGTAATTGGTCTTGTGGCCGCTCGGTTGATAGTTCTGCTCCATACCCAGGGGTGCTGACCGGGTTTGCCTGTTCCATTCCGTATCGCTGTAGGATATCTCTCGCGTAGGGTCCTTGAGATATGGCTAGCTTGTGTGCCATGTTCGTAGTTGCGCTGCACTTCGATGCCGATTACGCGCTTGACCTCTCCCATGTCTGTCATTTCGAAGCTGTCCATGAGTTCCTTCTTTTT